TGAAAAAAGGATTCGGTAATGAGTGCTAGAATTTGGCGAATAAATATTAAATATTCAGCAAACTTTAGTGCCGATTGGCAAATCTTTTTTCCGACGTACCGTCGACGATGCCGCGTCGCCTGGGAAAGGAGCGGCGCGTTACTGTCGGTCGTGTGTGCATTTCGACTGGCTCGGATCGCAAACAAAGTGTCGATCTCACGCACTCTCCCGCCGTGCATTCTGCTGACGTTACACGCCATAACGCGCAACGCTCGAACGAGCCTCCTCGGCGTAATGAGACCGTCGCGGTTTGCGTGCTCGAGCAGCGCCTGTGTTTGCGCCATGGACCGCGTCTCGTCGAGAAAAATCTCTCCCCGGTACGTGTCTCGCGACGTATTAGCGCGTTTACGAAACCCGATTCGGTGCGACACGAGAGGATAAATAAACGCTTCCAGATATCTCCCTCTTTCTCCGGCCTGCCCGCGATGGCGTCGTCCCGCTCTTTTTAGAACGTCAATGACGCGCGCTCTCTCGATTCCCGTAGGCTCGCCGGTAGGAACAGGCCGTGCGAGAGAGAGGTCCGTTGACAAAGACGAATAATATCGATAATATTCCGCGTCGAAGGCATCCCGTCCGGATTGGCTTAAAACCGACGAGCAACGATGTTCCGCACCTGTGTGTATGTGGGTGCGCGCGCGACGCACGTACGAAGGAGAGCTCGCCGACGGAGATACGGATGCACCCATACGGCGAAGGTTGGTAACACGATAGTGGCCGTATGTAAAACCATCTGGTGTAAAACGAGCTGCTGGCTCGTTCGAGTATTAAATCGGGCCTCTCTTACTCTCTTTCCGACTTCGCCCCGCCGCCCCCGTCGTCGTCGGCTGCCCGCGCGTCGCGCTCTTTTTTCTTCCCTTCCTCTTGCCTGCCTGTATACCGCAGCGCCCTTTATCCACCACCACCTCCCTCACCCCCCGGCTGTCGATCGACTGCTCGCGCTGAAAGTCTCCGTCGTGTGCGCGAGCACACGGCCGCGTACGTAACGCGCGGAATCTGTTAAGCCGACCAGCAGTAACCGCCGCGCCGCACATTCCGAGCTTAACGTCGCAACGTGCCGCGAAATGAACTCGTTAGCGTGTTCACGTGTCCGATGCCCGCGAGTCGATCCCCGGACCGTCCGATCGCACGTCCCTCCCTATTAAAGTCCGCGCGCTTACCGGGCCGATGAAGAAGTCGCGAGAAGAAAGCTCGCCAATCGCTGCGTGATCAATGGGTCGCGCGGAACACCGATGCGAAGAAAACGCTCCCGTTCGAAATAACACTTTGTATCCTGGAAAACTTTCGGCGTCGTTAAGGAATTTTTTTTGAAGAAAATGGTTGAATTCAACTACTGAGATTGAAGCAAGCAATCACGAAAGAATGTAATTATCGATTATCTCCGGCAGGAGTTTCTCCCTCCGAAATCGTTACCGCCGAGAATTCGTTCCATTGCCCGCGTACGTTTCACGCACGGTTTCAGCGGGCGCCCCATGTCGGCGATGTCGTTAGCGGGAACGTCGTCGGGAGAACAGCAAGAGAGGAAAGCACGAATTATGCAAGTGGATCGTGCACCTCGTAGCGAGGAGGTCCAGTCTGTTCGTTAAGTACGTTTAAGTCACGGTGTCGCGAGGGTGGCGAGCAAGCGGGGGCGAGGGGATGCAAGGGGCATCGGCCATGGGAGCATCGTCGATTTCTTTTTATCGGGTCGCCCCCTCGAGAATCCACCCGTCTTCTGCGTCGGGGAACACACGCAACGAGAAGAAGCTGCTTAAGCGCCGCCGCCGACGTAGCCGCGATGCCCGGCATTCCTAACGTTAAGGCCGGCAAACGCATTAGTTAACGGCCCTGAAAATGACACTTTGTATCGGCTAATGGGTAATTAAAGTCCCGGGGTTACGTTTCGCACGGAATTTATGAAACGTGCCGCAGCTGAGACGCGCGACTCCGCTCGAGTTGACTCGGCACGACTCACCGCGACTCGGACGGATATCGGACGTGTGTTTATGAGGATCCGCCACTTAAAACCTGCGAAAACGTAGATAAGGGATGCGACGAGGCTCGCACGTCCTCGAGAACGCCTCTGCCCGTTCCGCCGAAGATTGCGATGCATCCTTCGGTCCGGTCTCTCTCTCTCTCTCTCTCTCTCTCGTTCCCAGCTTATCCGTCGAGATTCGCGTCCGCGACCAGTGCGCATAAATGCGGCCTTAAATATGCTTTGACTCCATATTCGCGATAATACGAAGAGTCATTACTTAATCGAACCGATTTTCATGATCAATCATTTGATGATCAAGATGAGAAATATTTTATGATCAATATTTGATGTTAAATACGAGTATAGATTCATTGCTTTATCGTAGCCCAAGTAGGAAATAATCGTTGGTTCGGTACTGATTTTTAACGAACAGTGCTAGATGTCAATACTGATTTGATTATTGATAGGATACTGAGACGATAGCAACGGATCAAGACTCGGAAGACAGTACTGCAACTGTACTGATTCTTACTAATGACTGTTATTATTCTGTACAATTGTTAATACCACAATCATACTGTGGAAGAAAGATCAGAATATGGCCGGGGTGCTTGTTTGTACCTGCGGATGTCCATTTTTAACTCTGATCACATATTTAAATGCAACACGAGTGGTTACTTGGATTAAGTAAATTATTAGTTAATATCACTTGACCCAAGTAAACATTCACTGAGTATTGAAGTAATTATTTATTTGAATTTAGCACCTTTCTTTTTGCTGTACGATTCTTATATCGAGGATTTTACGCTTCGCGGATAAATCAACACTGAACAGGGCCCGATACGAGTACACGACTTTGCAATGATCGGTGACGGTGGTGTGAATGTATGTGGTTGAAAACGAGCGGATATAGCCGATCAATGACAGTTCGCGAGCGAAATTGGAAAATTGCCCCCGGGAACTGGATTACGCGCGAGAGAACACCGTCGACTCGCTCGCGACCATCGTGTTTTCCAGCTCTCGCCCGCGTTCGCCAATATCACGCCGTAGAACTGCGATCGCTCGGCTATGAAACCAGCTTGGCGTTGCGTGTCGTTTTATGTTGCTGCTTTTTATTCGTGATAATATTCCTCTCTCTCTCTCTCTCTCTCTCTCTTTCTGTAATCGCATCTGCGGAACGCGCGGTGAATCGGCGATTACGACGCGATACACGTCGTCCTTTACGGTCACATTTCGCAGTATACGATATAGTCTCGTTGCGATACGACTATCGTACATTGGTAAGACTAACAATTAACAACTACAATGGCGACTCGTTCGTACATAATGACATGTAAGTATATACACGCCCATGATCGGCCGTTTATCTCGTTGTTTTCATCGTAAAGTGACTTTTTTCCAATCGTCGTCATCGTCGTGATCTTAGTGGTCGTCGTAGTAAAACCGGAGATACTCTGATCGATATCGTATAAACGACTCGACGATTTACATCGAGATGTCGGCCTTATCGTAGTTAATTCCATCCAAGTTCTCGAACAATCTCGACGCGTGAGAGACAGCTCCCGCGCTTTTCCTTGCCTTCCCCTTTCTCTCTCTCTCTCTCTCTCTCTCTCGCTCGCTCGTTCTTTCTTTTTCTTTTCTTCACACTCCCGCGTCTACGCGTTCCGACAGAGATCCCGCGAGCGGAGATATTTAATAATAACGCCGGCCGATTTATCACGAGGCTTAATGAGAAAGAAGCAGTATGCTGCACGTCATCTCGCAGCGCGCCGACTCGTTTCTTAATGGACCCTGCCTGCATTCATCGTAACCAATCTACGGCGCAAACTCTATCTACCGGCTACGCGGCAACGACATTTAAATTTATTCTCGGACTCGCTCTCTCGCACACGCTCGCAAACGACGCCCCGGCGGCCTCAACGACACGCCGAGGATGGCGTTTTCGCGAACGGACGGTGGATTCGCCGGAGGCGATCACGCCCAGCGAAATACCCGTGCGAATATTTCGCGGGACGACACGCCAAAGTGACGCCCTGGTATATCGGTTTAAAAATTCCGCGCCGATAAATTCAATCGCGAACTAACGTTGCTACAATCTCGCGTTACGTACTGTTTAGCGTGCAGCATATCGAGCAGCCCCTCGCGAAGAGGAGCGCACATCAAGATTGGTATTTTTAGAAAAATTGAAAAGATCTTTGGATATTCAATTAAAAGAAGAAGACAATAAAAGGGGCCATTAAGGGCCAATGCATGACTGTGATGGTTCAAATAGAGGTCCGAAAGAACGTTTGGAAATTAAACATTGTCACGATATTTTTAAGTGATTAATATTAATATATTTGAATTATGAACTATGACATGTATTGGCTTTTAATGGTCCTTTTTATCGTGTTCTTTTTTGCTTGGTATTTTTTTATATTATTATACTTATATTTCTCATATCATATATTATACGTTTCATTTCTATGTACGTACGTTTCATTTCTACGTACATTTCTATTGTTATATATTATACGTCAAAAGATATTTAAACACAAAAATTATATATATATATATATATATATATAAGACGATAAATGAATTACAATTACTAGCACACATAAAAAGCCTTTAATGTTCAACTTGACGTGTATTAACACTACGAGTCTTTCGGGTGTCCGGCTCTCCCAGAGACCACATGACGTTACCGCTTCCACATCGCGTATCCACGTAGCGGCACGAGCAAGACAACCGCGAAAGTCGAAGCACGAAAGGGAGAAGGGACGCGGTGGATGAGGCCGCAATAGAGAGCAAGATAAGGAGCCGGTGAGATGAGGAGGGAGGACTACAAGACGAGGGACATGGGAGCAGAAAGGAAGAGAGAGAGAGAGAGAGAGTTCGAGGAGGAGTAGTGGGTCTCGTCGACGGGACAGGGACTAATGCCTCTTAATGCGGTTCTGGGAGAGCTGGAAGATAATGAAATTGTGGAGAGCGCCCTCAAGTGTCTTAAGAAAGCCCCGCCACTGACCTTTCTCGTAGTTGATTTGCCTCTCCTGCTGCCTCGCGTTGTCGGCCGCGACCTTGAGCAGGCCCTGGATATTCCTCAGCAGGGTCTCCGTACTCGAGACCGAGGGGTCCTGGGCGCCCTGAGACACGGCGACCGCCGCTGAGGCTATCTGCGAATAGTTGAGGGCCTGGGGACTTTCCGAGCCCGGCGCCGGCAACGGCAAGTTCTCCGGCACGTCCGACAAATCTGAAAGCAGAATTTCCGACTTCTTACTTCCCCGGTGCCGCAAGGCTAGTCTCCCTCGATTAACGGATCCCAGTACGGCCGGCGACGCGCCGGCAAACGTGAGGAAACGGACAGCGCGATAAATAAACGTCGTCGTCGTCTATTCCATAACGCGCGCGGCTCATTTCGCGTGAGATTCCTTGGCGGGGAACACCAGGTCCGCGTCGAGAGCAAAACGTCAATGATAAATTTGCCGCACCATCGTCGAACAACGTCCGACGAGGAGGGGTCGGCGAACACGACGTAGGAGACTTGTATATCGCGTGCGTGTCCCGAAGTCGTAATCTCGCGACGACTACTTGTTACCCTTCGCCACTTTTTGATTTAACGTCAACGCGGCCAAGTTAAATTCACGGAATTGAGCGCTACAAGAGAGTGCGCCGGCGATTAGTCGGCTTCTCGAAACCGGCTATTTAGCATCTCTCGCTATGGAACAACCGGGGAACGACGACGACGACGCACGTGCGTATCGTTAGCGACGCTTCCGCGACGCGGCTCCAAGTTCGACGAGGTTATTCGCGTACGAGGGGAAAAATAATTTTGCTGTCGTAGCGAATTAAATGAGCGGCTAAATTTCCAACAAAATGATCATAAACTAACATCTGACGATAGCTTTTGTTAAAAAGTAGCAATGTATTTCTCGTCGGGAAGGTAAACGCATGATTTCAGCACGAGCTAATCGTTCCCGCCGTAGTGCGTACAATTCGAGCGACAAATAAATTTAGCCGCGTTAGCAACGATATTAGCCGTCCCGATTTCGAAGACGCATCTTAGCCCACGGAATTTCAGCTCCGACGGCTGATTCTTCCACCGAGCAGAACGCTCCAATCGTTTCGAGTAAATTTGTACCTGTGGAGCGCGGCCGCGTCGTGATTCACTCGTACAATTTCGAGCGGAAATATTCACTGGGCGATTTTTCGAGTGGAGAATTCACTCAACACGGCGCGCAAAAAAGCCGCCGGAATTCGAATGACTCTCCCCGATGTGTCACTCTCCGAGTGGAATTGGACGGAATTTCGAGAGCGCGAGATACAAGTTGGCGACTAAGCGTCCCGGGAAAATCGTCGGACGAGTCGACCACACCGCGCGATGTAAATCGCGCATCATCGATATCGCGTCGCTATCCGTCGTCTCCTCGATCGCCCGGCGGAGTAGGTCGGACCACCCGGCTTGATCCGAGACACCTTTCGGGAACGGCGCTCCGCTCGAGATACGCCATTGACACGTCTCCGTCTCGGCGCTCTCCGCGCGGGAGAGGGCGAGCGCGATCGCACGCGGTGGAGGATCGCCGGAATAAAGGATGCCTTATGGTTATTGCCGAGGAGCCCGTAGAGTGGCGCGGCGCGACAAGATGTCTGCGTGGGTTCCAGGCTTAAGTGACCGCTCGCGGTACGGCCCACACCGTGGCTTTAGCCCCGGCTGCTTTATGGCCAATGATATGTGGTTTATTGTATCGTCTTTTAATTATCTGCGCGCACCTACAACGCGCCACGGCAATCGGTTACTTATTGCCGTTGGCCGATTTAATGCTCAGCGCGCGCGCGCACCTTCGGTGCCGATCGACCGGCACCTTTTGATAGGGAAGCGCACCGCGTCGCGCCTCTCCTTTTCTTTCGAGCTCTCTCGTCCTCCTCCCGAACCGTCGCGATCCTTTTTCCCCCTCCCCCTCCCTCATCCGTTCTCGGGGCTCTCCTCCTGACCGCTGCCCGCTCTATCTTCCACACCGCGGCCCATTACAATTATCAGGAGAGAGGAAGCGAGTCACCTTGGAATCTCTCCGCCACGAAGGCGTGAGCTCTCTCGCTCTTCTCGCCTCTCTCGAATCCCCCGGCGAGATGGATCCTCTCTCAGCGCGGCGGGAAAAGCGAGGGGCGAGCGCGCGCAGCTCGCCGGAAGATTATCCGACGCTTGCAATTACAACAGAGACGACTCGTCCGGGAGTTGAGAAAAAAAATGAGAAAGGCAGAAAGAAAAAGGAGAAAAGGAGAAACGGGCGAGTCGCGTCCGGGATGGGAGCGAACGAGCGTGATAATCGAGAACGCTCGAGGTGGATCGGCAGCCGAGGGCATCGATCATGTGACTTTTCCTTGGGATGGAAATGTGAAAAGTTAAATTAGTACGCAATTTGATGAAAATCAATCAATTATACGCGATATTTGGTAGGCGATTTTAACGCCCGACGATTTTCTAATTTCGAAGCATTTGGAAATGTGTCCGCTTTTCACGTATCCGGCGAAAAATAATGCGATCGCCGCGCAGACATGGAGGAATCGCGGTGGATCCGATTCCGGGAACGAGAGCGCGAGAGATAGTGGCGCGTCTCATTAAATCAGAACTGCATTCCACGAGCGTGTACACTCCCACGGGCATTCGATGGGGTTCTACTTCGATCACCGCGAGCACAGCGCGAGCGGTTGGGCAGGATGTACTGCCCGACGCGTACGACACGCTGCGAAACACGGATTCCCCCGGCCGCTCGCGCCGCACCGGGCCTGCGGGATTTATACGTCTAAGTCGCGTCCCCTTCGCGGAATTCAACGGCCCCACGCTAATTCGGGGGTACACGCGGGACCCCCTAATTTTGCGAGCTCGCGCGCGCGGTCTCCGGCGTTTTCCCCGCTGGCACGAAGGAGACCGCCGGACGATCTTGCGATTTCTGTGAATTCTAGCCGGTCGCCCCCGCGGTGAGCGCGCGTGTCCCGCTTCGCCTCTAAATCATTTGGCCGGCTTCGGTCCCGCGCATTAAATCGCTCGATCTCGAGAGCAACGAAATTAATTAAGACAACGCGAGACGATCGAGCGCGCAACGGCCCCGCCGTCCGTTCTTCGCTTTCTTCTCTTTTTCTTCCTCTCTCTCTCTCTCTCTCTCTCCTTCTCTCTCCTTCGAAGAAACGTATTCGTGAAGCGGAATCGATTCGAGGCGAGGTACGGATACGCGACTTTACGTGGGGACGGGGCCCCATTAATTGGCCCGGCCAATTAACATGCCGACGCGCGACAATGGTCGGGTCGATTAGGAATCAAAACGATTATGACGCTTCGGTGAATCGGAGCGCCGGAACAAGGGTGGGAAGGATGGCGATACAAAGCTCAGAGCGGAGATCTTCTACCTCTCGATCCATCTTTCATTAGAAAAATGAAACTAAATATCGAAGACGCGAGTCTAATGATCGCTTTGCTCCGGCAGTGGCGCTCCTCGGCGCGAGGACGCCGCGCGCGTTTCGCAGCAGACCGCCGGAAGAGGACGAGACGCTTTCTCACATCGTGAAATTCGGTCCTACGTTTGACGAATCGATCGAGGAGGCTACGATTGCGTTAGATTTCATTAGCGGGTATTACATCCCCGCTGATTCGTAAGGTGATTAAAGACTACGCGCGACTTGGCAACCGCTGCGACGACGTGTTTCTCGGAGCACGATGGAAGACGAATCCCGAGGCGCATCCCTCGTGCTCTCTCGGTAGAGAGATGATGGATGAGAGGGCCTGACCCGCCAGTCGTCTCGAAGAACTCGTCTTTAAACGCGGCGTGTCCGGCAAAATCGATATAATTATTTCACGAGCATGAATCCTCTCTCGGGTCGAAATCAGCCCGACTTTCGACTTTCGTCGAACGCGAGAACGCGCTCGCCTTATCGCGCTCGGTTCTAATTGATCGCGAGAGCGAATGATCGGTCGTGAGAGAACCGACCGTTTCATCAGAGTCTACATGGAGACAGAAATAATTTGCTGACAGAGGCAAATCTTATTCTGTCGCGGCAAAATCTTCCAGTTACCATGTGGACAGACGAGGCGATCTTTTTCAAAGGACTAATTGCCACTCGCTGAATTATTTCGCTGAATCTACAAATTGTTTTCACGTTAGGACAATTTGGTAAATATAGGAAAGCACTATTTTGTTCCGACAACTAATTAACGTGTCCTAAGGATAAATTCGCTCAGCAGAATACTTTCCCTCCTAGTTTGATTACGAATAATTTGTTAATTTAATAATATGTTGATAATTGGTTCTGACAATTGTTTCGTCGTTGTCGCAACGAATATGCAGTAGCAAGGTTGTGATTTCGCTAACAACGGCAACATTATTTTTCCCCGTAAATAAATACGTGGGGTAACGCGAATCGATGGGAGACCGCTGTCTTCCTCCAATCGCCCGCGATCGAGTCATCCTGCGTGCATACCTTCGTCTTTTTCGTTGTCGTCCTCGAGGTCCTCCGACAGATTATCGTCCTCCTCCTCGTCGTCTTGAGAACGATGCGACGCCCCTGCCTCGCTTCCGGAGTGCTCGCCCACGCTTCCGCTTCCCGCGGTTTTTGACAGATTTAGAACCGGGCTGTGACCGTTGGAGGAGCCTGCAAAAACCGCGATACCGCGACGAATTTAATAAAGGGTGTAATTCATCGCGCTTAATACGAGAGACGCATTCATATTCCCCTCTATACGTGATATATGTACACACACACACACACACACCGGGAAGAGATATCGATGTCGGACTTGAATCGAGTCGCGTTCGTGTCCATGTATCTACTGGATACGCGATAACGCCGCGAGAGCGGCGTCAATCTTTCCCGAGGAACGTTCGGTTACGAAGAACGAGAAGCGCGTCCATCGACCGGACTGACAAGTTGATGGATTTTATTTGCCTCCGCGCATCCCCGTTTAGACGAGAACAAGCGGACTATCCACTTTCCGAATCCTCCCGGCGGCCCGCACACTCCCTATCTCTCTCTCTGTTGGCCCCGCTGGACGACCGTGCGCCTCTTTCTCTTTCCGCATCCCTTTTTCCTTGCCCCGACCGCCTGAGCGCGGGCGCGCTCGCGCACGTATTTGATATCCTAGTATTTTAATCCTGACATAGATAGATACTGTTTGGGCAACGGTCGTCCGCGCTGACGCATTGCTCCGGGGCCACTCGTGATCTCACGAGTACACGCACGAGAGTGTACCGGAACATGTACGGGTGTACGACGGTGGGGGTAGGGAAGCTTCAGCCGTTCACACGTACGCGCCCGGAGCTCCGTGTACCTCGTTGGCCGTTGAAAGAGAAGGGTCGCGGTTTTCTCGGCTCTTCTCGGCACGATCTAATGAATCGTACATCTTTTACGTTAAATTGACTCCTACACGCCGGCTACCACGCCAGAGGCTTGAAAACCTCGGCGCGCACACAGCGAAGAGGGGTCCTCGCGTGAAACGTAATCCGATCCGACCAGTGGTAATTGCGCGCATGCATGGAAATGCGCGGGAGATCGCGACGTCCGTCGTGTGTGGCGGAGGAAATATTCCTTTGATTTTCCGGACGGCAAGGAGATTCCCCCTGAGAAAAGCTTCTTCCAGATTTTTCTTCCATCCCCCGTGCTAACAGAGTACCCCGTTTAACCCTGACAGTAACGTTCTAAGCCTACGAGATCTACGCATGTAGATCCTTTCGCTTAGCCCCCTCCTCAGTCGAAATTTTTGTGCCACTTTGACGTAGTAAGTAATTGATAAAGGACTAAAAAAAAATGTGCAAAACATCACGACTTTTTCGTGACGTAAGCCTGTGGTGATGTTACTTGAGCGTCAAGATCGCGGGTGTTACTCTCAGGGTTAAATCGCGATGGAGGCGGTAGAAGTCGAAACGTTGTCTTCGACGGAGGTGGGTTCGTCTCACGGAAGATAAAGGGTTCCATCAGACGGATTATAATATTATAGGGAATCAGAAAGAGAAGGCCGGACCCGCGACAGGACGTAACCCGATATCGGACTTAATCTCCGGGATCCTAAACGCCCGGGACACTCTCCGGCCCCTCAAATCACCTCCCCTACGTTCGTTCGTTGCGGACGGAGCGGAGGGAAAGAACGAAAAGGTAGAAATACAGAAAAGAAGGAGCACAAGGCGGTCGGACTGCCGGCCCGCAGTGCCGTGTCGCGGTCAAAAATCTTTCTGCGCCGGTTGACTTGGAGTCCGCGTCGATCGAACGTACCCCGGGGCCTCGGACGATTAAGGATCTCGCGTTACCGACTTAATCCAGTTGACAGGCGCCATGACGACGCGCAGGTAGGCGAGCAGGTAGATGGGAATACGAGAAACGAACGCTACGGGAAATATACGCGGCCGTGCGGAACCGTCGATCGCGGACGCAACTCGCTGCGTTCTTACGAATGCGAAGAAGAATTCCTCGCGTCACGCTGATCGGCATGATCGAAGAGAGGAGATCTCCTCGATTTGATTAGCTTCGTCTTCGTGCAACTGGACTAAATCGAGATTCGCATGCGACTAAGAGATGCATCAGTTGGTCGGATGAATCGTTGAGCCGACACGTTAAGGCGACGTACGTGTGCGTACACATTCACACTAAAAAAAAAAAACGATTTGGTGGCGATCATCAAAATTTGGTTAAACAGATTCGATTGAATTGCTTGTTTACTGTAACCAAACCATTTTTTTGTATCATATATTATACATAATATATGGTACTAAATGATGTTGCAGTAACCGATCAATTTAATTGAAACTATTTAATCAAATCTTGATAATTATCACCAAATTTGTTCGGTGCAACGAACAAATAGCGAACGAACATCGAAGATGAACGTTCCCCTTGGCGCTTGTCGTTCGTTCATTTCTTTTCAATTATGTTTTTTATTACTTTTAAATCCAAAAGTATACATCAATCAAGAGCTCACTGAGCACGAAAGGTAGGAGCCTCCCACCATTAATGCGGAATGCCACTGTCACATACGACATACACGTGTACATCTCCGTGTAGTCAAGCGAAAGCTACACTGAAAAAAGGATTTTAGGAAGGTACTAAGTACTAAAATTTGTTGAATATTTGCCGACCTAATATTTGATTCCCGCAACTAAATAATTTAGTTCCATACACTGTATATACAGTACTATATATACAGTGCTGTAGTTCCGTATATTGCATATATAGTATACAGGACTAAATTATTTGGTTGCAGTAATCAAATATTTGGTCGGCAAGTATTCACTAAATTTTAGTTTAACTTGTTACCAAATCCTTTCTTCAGTGTTCTGTGACCGAGTGCTCAGTGAGCTCTTGAATCTGATTGGTGTATACTCTCGGAAAAGAACCAACAAATCACAGCCAGGAGCTAATCGAATGTTCACGAACTTCCTTTGTTCTACTGCTTCGAGAGCGAGTCGGCTCGAACGCGAATCGACGTTATTTTCGGATTCGTCCGAAGACATTTATATTTCCGAATCGTAATAATGATTGTTTATATTTGCTGCTCGTTCGTTGTTTGTTCGCTCAATGTATACCTGCATAAAAAAGAGTGCTGGATTCAAGTAAATAATTACTCCAATATTCTTAGCAAATTTTTATTTGGATCACGTAAATTTTACCTGTAACAAGCAAATCTATCTTACTTGAATAATTTACTTGGAAAATATTTTATTTGGATCAGGTAGATATTAGTATCAGAGTAATTATTTACTTGAATCTAGCATTCTTTTTGTTTTTGTGCATCTTTACATTACTAATGGACGATGAAAATATGATTGACGGTGAATCACGCGTTACGTAACGAGGGTATCAATCGCGGTGAATCAAAACGAAGTGACGAGCATGCGAGTGCATTAGTGCATTTGCTTGCGTAACCTTACCATTGTGCGAGCTAAGGTCCCTGGGTTTGTGGTCCAAAGCCAGCGCTCTCTCGGCGTCGCCCCTCTCCTCGCGGAGCCTGCAATAGAGAAAGAGGGAGAAAAGAAAGGTTTCCGTATTAATCCAGGGGGATTTAAATCGAGCGAGCGCGGAGGTGGGCGGACTCCGCTCTCTGTACACGCGTACGGGTATTAATTAAATAATTATTCTAGTCGCTGGGCAAGGGATTCGCGTAGGAAGATAAGTGCCGGGGTCTCCTCTTTCTCTCGCTCACACCGCGACCGTTCCCGTCGGTATCACCGTGCACCCTGTGTATTATCGCTCTTAATCGCTTCACTCGCCGCGACACGCACAATTCGCAATTCGTCTGACCCGTCGCGAAGACAGCGCGAAGCGGCGAGTCGTCTCGCGAAACTCGAAACCGACGGTAAATCGGTAAGGTTTAAGTGGTAAGCGGTAATAAAGTCTCTTGTTGAACGATTTATTCTCGCCGGCACATCCGCAAGAGAGAGAAACGGACAACGCGCGAGGATTTGCAAAGCCGCAAATTTGCGCGCCGTCGCGCGGCTTCCAACTTCCTTCTCCGTATTTTACTTCGATTTCCTCGAGTGTCCGGGTTTTACGAGGTCGGCGCTCGTTAATGCGACTTTACGTTCCCGCGCCACGAAACTTTTAATCTTGGCTTTATATTGTTTGGCACTCGTGCCCTCCGGGTCCGTCACAGCTTACCCGAGAATCGTTAAGATTTCTGTCCCGATGTTGCGGCGCGCATTAAGAAGCGAGCGAGGATCGCGGAATCGGGCGTTCCCGTCGTAAAGCCGCGGTAAGCGGGGAAACGAGCGAGATAAAAGCTTCTTACGAAATTACAGTTTCGGCATCGTCCTCCCAGCGTCGCCAGGAGAGAGGGAGAGATAGAGAGAGAGAAACAGAGACGTGACTCATCTCCGTCGCGATCGGAACGGAATTACCATCGGTGCCGTCGCGCAGATGATTAACCGGCGCGTTCGACCGCCTCTCGGAAATAGTCGTGCTACCGCGAGAAAATAATTTCTGAGTGACAAAAGTTCCGTAGTACAAGCACTTTGGTCGAGGGGGCGAGCGGACAGATTCCTTAATCGCGCGTAAAGAGTTGAAGGGCGAGAGCGACCCTCGGCAGCGCCGAGCAGAAAAAAAGGGGGAAAGGGACCTGCCATCGGTGCTGCGGCTTTTATCGCGAGGTTTATAGCGGAGGTCATCCACGTAGTCGCGGATTTATTTTGCAAGGAGCGGCGAGAGGTGTGGAGAAAGAACGAGAGAGAGAGAGAGAGAGAGAGAGAGAGAAAAAGAGAGCGAAATGGACGCGTCCCCCGAGTGATTAGGCTCTTTCACCGCGCCGTATTCTCTCTCCCGCCCCCGCCCCTCTTTTTCTCTATCTCTTGTCTTGCCTCCTCCATTTTTCTCTCTTCTCGTACTCGACTCACCAAATTATTCTCCCGGGTATACTTTTTCCGGCTTCCACGGGGGCTGCGGTTCGGGGGGCCTCTTTCGCACCTCGAATCGAACCGCGGACCATTAAGTAAGAAGTTAATATCATTAAACATAATATTGGGCGCATCTGGGAGCCGCAGAGCACTTACCGACCCCTCCGTCCACACCCCTCACCCCGTCGGCCCCCCGCCCACCGCAAAACCCTCCTGTCTCAGCCCCACGCTTCGTTTCTGCACCGCGAACTCGGTCCCACCACCCTCCGCTCCCTCCTCCCGCCCGGCTCGTCCCTCTGCAACCGCTTCGCTCCTTTTCACCCTCCCNCTCCCCCCACCTACCCTTAATTTTTTAATGAGAAAATGCTTTCAAAGAGCCGGAGAGAAATACTGTGTCTACGAGCGATAAGTTACGGCGGCGTTAAGGGAAACGGAGAGCGCCTTTATGTGTGCGCCTCGCAGGCCGCAGAATCTGAAGATTCCCCGACGAAGGATGGCCGGAAGATACTTCGCGCTTCCGATCGGGATAGAGTCACAGAGGAATCGCACGAGATCTTATTAACGGTGCAAAAGCGATCGGGGTGGAAAAGGAAGAAGTCTATACGGAAGTAATAACACGACGCGACGACGGGACACTCCAACGAGCGCCGCATACCGAAGACATCGTATTAACGATTTAATTTCGATGATAATTAAATTTTAATTGGTAATACGAGTCCATTAAGACGGGGGGGGGGGTAGCGGGGGACTCAGCGGCGCGTTTCCCGCGCGACTACCGACGGAAGGAAGGGCAACCGACTCTTTATCACGCTTTCTCTTCCATGCGATAACAGACGTCGCAATCTTGGGCGGGCAAAGTGGCGAAGGAAGGGGTGGAATAGCGGGGTAGGATGCGAAAATGAACCAGGTGGAAAGGAAGGAACGGGAAGATAGAGAGAGAGAAAGAGAGAGAGACTGAGAGAAAGACGGCGTGCGCGGAGCGTAGCGCAACGCGGAGTCGATTCATTTAGACGTCGCGGCCTTGCAATAACCGGCAACGAACCGAGGTTATTAAATTTGTAATTAGTCGAATATTACGTTCGACGTCGCGGCGCTCCCCGTGTCTACGTCTATGGTTACTGCCGTCCGCGAATTTTCGCGTGTACGTGCGCCCGTGTACGCGCACACACGCTCGCGTCCGTGGGCGTGTAGCCGCGTGCGCGAATGCGTTAATACGTGTTACGGGTTTCATTATGCGCGCGTAATACGGCTCCTACGCTCACGGATCTCGACGATACGCGAATAATTAGTGATCGCGGCCCTACGTCGGCCCGGGTCTCCTCGGGCGCGCGAGAGAGAGAGATAGAGAGAGAGCCGTTTTTCCTCGACGTCTCGACGAAGGAGGAATAACGAGGCGCGCACCGTATTCACCAGTCGAAATTACAGCCTAGTTAGCCCCGGAGGGGCCCGAAACCGAACGTTTATATTAAATTCGCTCGCGCACCGTCGCGATAATTAATTCGTTGATAAATAATCGCGCCCTGATAAATAATCTGCGAGGCTGCGCGCCGAGAGCCGTTCCCAGTCGTCGTGGCTTCTCGCCCACGCTTTGCGCGAAACTAATAAGCCGCGCCGAAAACGCGCGCCCTTCTGTATCTTTGGCTTTAATTTTGACTCGGTAATGATGGACTCCGCGGGGATTCCCTCCCCGACGCTCAGAAACGGCCGGCTCGAACAGCGGGAGTTCATTAAGAGGCGGCGTTTCGAAGGCCGAGAAAGAGAGAGAAAGAGAGAGAGAGAGGGAGAGAGTAGAGTAGATAGAGCGAAGCTGTCGCGATTCCAGATCACTTCGCGAAATCGGAGCCGCGATCCTCGCGAAACGGAAATCGGTCCGATAGATTTCCCCCTTCCCACCCGCGATAGAAACGCATATTTCTCCTCCTCTTTGCTCCAGACGCCCCGCTATTCTTCTCCCGGCCGTATTTTTCCGGCATTCCGCCGGAGAGATGTATGTTTTTTCGGTCGCTTTGACGTTTTCGATCAAAACAAGCCGCTACAAACAATAGGGTGGGATTTGCGCGTCCACCAAACGCGCATCGTGCGCATAACGCATCCGATAATGACGATAGCAATTGTAATTTCGGCACGACAAAGGGCCTCTGTAAAATGGCGAAGGTATGTCCCCGCGCTCTTCGATCCCGGGGCGCGGCCGTCCAACAGCTTTTTTAATAAACGATGCACGTGCCATCGGCGTTCCAGCATTCACATACGCCAATGAATTTTTATCGCGACGCGTCGCATGTCGTCGCGTGTAAACGTTTTTTTTTCGCCCTCCCTCTCTCCCTCTCGCCCCTTTTTTTCCATGCCTAAATCGCGAGTCCCCAATTATTCGTCGTGTTTATCCCGTTATCGAGTAACGCGCGGAGACTCCCCGCCCTCCTGTCCCCTTCTCCCGCTCCACCCCGTCACCGCGGAAACGTCGTAACACCGATCGACGCTGTTACACATTCGTATATCTATCTCGGGCGACCAGGGCGAAAATGCATTTCCCGGGGAAGGTGTTAATTGAAATGAAAATTTTAATCGCCGTCGAAAAAACTCCAACCTACTTTGCATACGATTAATTTTTCAAGGGACACGCTACTAAAACATTTCGCAAGCGTTCGAGCTAATATTTCGCAATATCGAACTGTTAATGGCGCCGGGAGAAAAAAAAATAGAGAACACACAGCCCACCTCCGGTCGGGAGGGAGGGAGGGGGAGGGGGGTGTAAATTCGACGTGAAATTTCGTAATCGTTCGTTAATTTCACCTACAGAATTAATTTCGCGGCCGGGTTATACGGAACGTATTCTCCGCGCTCCACGATCGCGCACATACGTGTATCTCGAGGGTGGTGGTGGCGGCGTCGGCGGTCTCTTCGTAGATATTTCGTAATCGCAATAATAAACGGCCTGGATTCGCGAGAAGGGTTGTAACACGATCCGGAGGGCCTTCGTGCGGGAGTGAAAATTCCACCCTTAGGACCATGACATTCGAGGCGAAAGGGGTTCTATGATACTTTCTTCTTCCCTTCTCTTCTCTCTCTCTCTCTCTCTCTCTCTCTCTCTCTCTCTCTCACTTCTTCTTTTTCTTTCTAATAATGAGTGTCTTCATTGCGAACGAGACGGTATCTCGAAGGGACACCTCAACTCCCTATCGCGATTGTAAAACAATACGAGTTCTCGAGTATTTACGTCAATGATCGTAAGAGAATGAGAAGCGACGTCGGCACCTAATCCGCTGCCAAATTATACCGGTTTCCGCTCTCGTCCCGAAGATATACGATTTCGCCGATCTAATGAGGGCGCGATCTAACTCGAACAAACGTACGCACGTACGCACGTGACGGGGAGGAAGAAAGAGGCGAACTTAATTCGGGGGACGCACGACGGGGACCATAAATTACTCCCACAGTCCGGGAGATTTCTCACCGACATGGGTTGAGAACTCCCGGTACCTTCACGCGCGAAGGGAATGGATTCGAATTACAAACGATGCCGTCTCCGACAAAAAGGGCCAGGCGTGTTCGCCGGTAGATCCTTACAGATATTATCCGGGCATATCGCGCGAGACGGACAACATTTATCAAACCCGCGTGC